GACACACACACGCACACACACACACGTGTACGCAAAGCTGGACAGCGATTATCTAAAATAGGAAATACTGATTGATTTGACTGAAAAACAGGGTAACAGGCATTATGCTGATCAGAAATACCCATACTTGGATCAATGTATACAGCATATAAAAGAAATAGTGAAATGAACGCAACAATATAAGCTGTGCAATCCATTTAGAAACTTTTCAGGCTAGCTACGTCAGTGAAACTACATTCATATAAATTCAATATAAGCACATAGATGGACAGAAAGAATAACATCAACATAGGACCTGAAATTACTGCATAATGATTCAAGTTATCACACCTCATATAATCAGCAAATTAAGCAACAAAGTATGAAGGTGAGAGATTAAAGCTAAAATAAAGAAATAAGGTAGTCAAAAGTGATAGAAAGTCATGAAAAGAGAACATGAAGGAAGGAATACAAGAATACTGAAATCCAGCATAACAATTACGATGAAGATAATGTGTGTAGATAGATGTGAGCCATTGTTATCGATTCTGAACCATGCCACTTAGACAGTATTCAATCATTGGTTTCTGTTGTCATGTGAACTCCAACGACATGAGAACCTATATTTTTACTATCGGCAATCAATAGCATCTTTCCACTCTTCCCTATTCAATGTTCACTTCAAAATGATCAATGTAGAAAATAAACACTGAAATAATGTATGTATGTTTGCATGTCAGAATCTAAAATTATCATCAATATTGACTTACAGACTGGCAAAATCAACGTACAACCTCGTAAATAGGGTGCGTCAGCTCAAGTTGCAACACTTCACAATTGTGTGATAGAATAAGTAATCTGAAGATAACGGTTACCGGAAATATTTAAGCTTTGGAAGATGTTAAGGAGTGAATGCATTTGTGCAACTGTGACTGATTTTCAGCCATATCCCCAAGAGTCTTCACAACCACTGATCCCTATCGTCTTAGGGATCCCAATCAGACAGTCTACATCTCGCAACACGACTCAGATCAATAGTAAGAGAGTTCATCGACCTAATCGTAATTTCACTACCATGACACATCAAGGTAGATGGTGGCAGCTTAGATGTGACTGATGTTTACTTTTATTGGTCGATTAGTAGAGAGTAATCAATTTCTTGCTGTCAAAAGTCTTGACTGAATCCTGTCAATGTGATCACAACATCAAGCTATAAAAGTCAGTATCACACAGTGTACTTTGATTGATAGGATTCTATGAGCACTTAGAACTAGAAAATATGAAATGAAATCTAGGTCAAGTGAGGCTCCCTGTCGATCACCTACAAACATAACATTCATGCTAACCTTCATCTTCAAGATATA